ATCTAGGGGAAAATCTTAAGTCTTCAGGACTTTTTATTCTTATTGCCAAATGAAGGTAAATATTCTCTGCAGATGTCTGTCACTAGTGCTTCCATCAAGCACTGGTCACTGGGAAAGCATGAGTGGCAGAGGGATTTTCTGTTTAACACCCAGGGCTTGGTAAAGTTTAGCTGCTGAGCTGACGTGTGAACATACAGTGGCCATTGTAACTTCTCGGGAGACGGATGATGAATTTTCCACTTCTGCGTGAAGTTTTATTTTCCCAATAGAGGAGTTTGTCACTCTGCTAGAAGTATTAACAAGCCAGGAGCATTCTCTCATGTGAAAATCCATCTTTATGCCTACTTGCTGAGCCCGAGTCATTATCAGATCCTTCTAGGGCGAGCGAGAAAGGAACCTTCTCCGGGAGTGTGTTGGTGAGCCTGTCTGTCTGGGCACAGAGTGCCTGCAAAGGTGCCTTCTGCTCTCTCCGCTCTGCAGAGAAGGCGGAATGATTAAGGGTGTCAGGCTGGATGTGTCTGGGCCTTTCTTGCCCACCTGATGCTTCGATACCTGCTTTTCCTGATTGCTGGCTAGCTGAGCGACTCCAGCCTGATGTAGCAGCTCTTGGAGAATTCAGTGATGGCAGGCATAGACTAAAGGAGTGATTGAAAGATCTGTTGGGCCTTACTGTGCATTAGTGCGGTGCACAGCTCTCCTAGTTTGCATGAGGAGACTCTGGCCGTGCTGGTTTGTATCTGTTGTATTAATTGGATGATTGGAAACAGTCACGTTGTAAGGTCCTTCACCCAGCTAGAGCAGGGGGCACTGAGCAGTACCTCGCTAGCGCTGTGGCCTGGTCTTGGATACCTGTGTACTAACACTGAAGGGGTCACTTTGAAATTACCTTGGGCATTTGGGGTTAAGGCTGGAGCAAATTCATTTTGTCAGACTCACTGCCTTCAATAAAATGCAGTTCCCAACAAATGCTAGCTTTATTCTTGTGTTTTTGTCAAGCATATACAAACTTGCATTTAATTTAGCCGCTATCCTGCTGCTTGTTGTGCTTATGAAGCAATTTATTGTTGCTGTTGTTATTCTCAATTGATTGGTAAATCTGTACCAAATACTTCCCAGTGATGGAAAAAGAAACACTGAAATGCTAGTAACAAAAAAGTCTGAAAGATCCAGATGTGAGCTGGGGAAGAAAAATGGAAACCAATCAGCCTTGATTTAAACCTTTCAGATAAGAATTTGGGAACATCATAACAGCATAAATTGTGTTTGTTCTAATCACTCTACCAGCCAATGTTGAAGCTTCTGCCAATAAGAAACTGTTAGGAACAAATGCATAAAAAAATTACCGGGATCTGATAAGGGAAATAAGTTAGTCTGACTAACGTGTTACTGTCAGCTCTTTAGCTGAGTGATGCATTGAGATTTTTTGCTCGATACAGTCCCGACAGCCATGTGGTTCGCTGTTTAATTTTATCTTGGTCTGTGGGCAAAGGAAGGACTTCCACATCCAGACTTGTCAAGCTGCTATTTTCCATGGAGATTATTTTTACTGTTCTAAAAATACATCGCTGACATGAGTACCCAAGTTTCTATCCAGACCATTCTCTCAGAGCCTTTGGGTCACTTACTCAAAAACTGGCTCACAATAAAAAGATTTTTGACCTTAAAGAAGGTCCAAGAATGGCCTGGAATTTAGTTTAACTTGCTCATAGTTTCTGCTTTGGCTTCTTGAATACAACCCATTTTTCTGCCTTTTAGTGAGGTATCACTGCTAGAAAGCTTCCGGCGGAGTGAAGCAGATGGGCCGACCTTCCGTGAGCAGAAGCTGCTCCTAAACCAGGCGTTTTGGGCTGTTTGCTGCCTCGGCTTGCCTGCTGTGCTGGTTTGGGATCCAGGGGACTGCACATGAGCCTTGCTGCAGCTCCTGAACTGTCACGGGACGTTCCTTCATTAATTGTAAGAAGCCAACGTAGAGTGCCAGCTGGCCCAGCCTCTTTTCTGACAGAAAGCAGGGGTTTAATATGTTAAAGCTAAGGTGGTTGAAAGAGAGAAATGCAGGTAAAAACATAAGCCAGCGGGGAAAGATGGATTTTTTTTCATTACTTCACAGGTTTTAGAAGAAATGTTTTTCCCCTCTCCCATCCCAAGAAAAGAGAGATCAATTTTTCTGCATTCCATAAAACTTGGAACAGAAAATAGATTATTTTTAGCTTATTCCCTGGGTACTGTGTAGGCTTCAGTCTTTGGAGTCACTTTGTTCCCTGCTGTGGCAGATACAGGATTTGTACAAGCTCCAGAGAAAAAAATCAGGAAGAAGAAGAAAGAGAAATTTCAGAACAAGTCTGTCTCTCTCTTTTCTTCTCCTCTTTCTTCCCCTTTTGTACTTCACTTACTGCTGGGCTGCTTCTGCATTTTATGTTTCCTTCACTTTGGCTCTTCCTCAGCCTGAATGACTTGTTTGAAATACTGTGAACAGAGGAGGGAGAGAGATTAGAGTTAATTTTAGGGTGGAGAAATAAGGCAAAGCGAATAAGAACCTGAGAGAAAAAGCAGCAAGGCTGGTCCCTAGGTAGCACCAGAGGCCAGGCTGTAGCCGCAGTGAGATGTGGAGGCAGACACCGGCACGTTTGTGGGTGAGACATGCAGATGGATAAGCTGAGGGTTTCTGGCTTTCAGGAGGAAAGCCGCAGCTGAGCTGGCTGCTCCAAGTGACAGAAATGAGCTCCAAGGGTGGAGTTTGGAGTGACTGGAGAGAATAAAAATGCCCGTGAGAGGAAGATGGCACTTGTGGCAGCAGACTTCTGACCGTTCCGAAAACACCCTTGGGCAGCTTCGCATTGTTGTTATCCAAAACGGAGCCGATTTCGTTCACTGGAGAGGAGCACCATCCCGAACACCGGCCTGTCTTTTTCCCTTGGAACAGAGTCCCAGGTCTAAGGGTTGAAGTCCCGATCCAGTCTGTCTGTACCTTGTGGATAGCTTTGCCCCTGAAGCATGGTGTTTCACATGCAGAGCACCTTTCCTCTCTTTCTGTCTTTCTAGCATTCGGATGGTCAGACTTTAATTCTTGAGGCAGAACACAGTGCGAGGAGCTTATTTTCCCATCTTTGCAAGTTCTTCCTTTCAAACTTGTCTGTAGATGTTGGAGGTGGAGCCCGTTATCCTTGTGACCTTCATATGGCCATGTACGTACAGAGTCCAAACAAGAGGACAGTCATCTCAATGGGGACGGTTTGGTTTACACTTAACTAGAACAGAGCTGTTTCCTTCAGTCAACACGCAGGAATAAAACACTCTGTGTACAGACCTTCGACCAACGTACCCGGGCTCTGACACGAGGAAACATGCTGTAGGCATTCATAATGGAGCAGTGTTGACCGCAGCCATGGGACTTGTAGGCAGCGTGGCGTTCATGTTCACCCAACAATGTCTCACTTGTGTTCGATATTTTAATTTGCTCAGGTGGATTTGCAGCTGCAGTCACCACACCTCTCGATGTAGCGAAGACAAGAATTATGTTGGCAAAGGTAAGAGCGAGGGAGGCCAGCAGGCGTGCAGGTGAATGGCTTGGGTGGTTCCAGAGTTTCTGTATGGTCATTACAGAACGAAATCCACACCTATTAACAACAATGCTTTCTGCTCTTGTCCTCGAAGGCAGGATTAGATGTGAACAGGTACGGCATGCAGAACTAATGGAATTGTTGTGTTCCTTTCCTTGAACTGCTCTTGCGGTCCTTTCCCAAAGGAGCTGCCTGAGAAGGGCTCGTGCTTGTGCTTGGCTTCAGAGTCTCCTGCAGTGTCTTTAGGAGAAAGTCCTTGCAGAGTCAGACACCCGAGTTAAACTGCTCATCAGGGGTTTATTCCTCTGTTCTTTTGATAATTGTTGGGCTTGAGTGTGTGTATGCGTGTCTTTCTGGGGGGCACTTGGCACTGGATTTTCTGTCCTAAAATTTTAAGCCATAGAGATCGTGATGGCTTACATCTGCCAGCCAGGGCAGAAGGAAGATTGCTTATAAGATCAGTAAGTTTGGTAACTAGTTAAATTGCTCCTCAGTCTGGTGTTGCCACCATCATCTCATTGACCCAGAGCAGAGCTAAGCAGCCACGTAGCTAAAAGCCCTCAGCAGGTGGATATTCCTAAAGCCTTTCCCCATCCTGAAAAGAGCTGTTGTGTTGGCGAATGTCAGCCATCCTGGAGTTTCTGTGAGCAGTTTTTACGCTATTGCTCACGTCCCTCAGTACAGGTGTGTTTCTTGTGGGTGGCATGCACCTCCCCAGCCGAGTCCCGCACGTCTGTGCTCACCGTGTCGCTGTCTTGTGCATCTCTCATGGCTGGGGGTTGTACCTGCTGCAGCCGTTGGGCAGTGTGGCTGATAAAACTCTAAGGACTGGGTTTCATTTATGTCTGCTGCTGTCCTGAGCAACCAGGTCAGCACTGGTGAGGGAATGGTGGTGCTTTGAGGTGTCCTGAGACCGTTCAAACAGCGTCTTTGTATTAGTCATCTCACACTAACTAGATCACGCCTGTAATTGAGTTGTCTGTAGTCCTGCTCTTTGTCCTCTGTGTTGCACTCAAGGCAGTTTTCACATGCGATACTCGTGGGGTTTTTTAAGGCAAACCTCGAGGCTGCTGTCGTCTTGCAGTGAGCAGCAAAGTCACTTGTTGATGCTTTGAGAGCGTTTTTATTAACGTCTTAGCCCAGTGTCAGCTGCTGGACGTAGAGCTGGGTGTAGTGCAGAAGGGACTGGCTACTCGGTTCTGGACTAACCAGCTCATGGAGTGATCGCTTTGTTCTTCCGTGCCTTGGTTTCCCTTTCTGCCCTCTGCCTCATTCCTGGAGACAAGGAGCTTTTGTCTGTGCCTGGGGTAAGGAGGTCATTAGGGTGCCTGTGATTCCTGTAACGTAGCACTAACCGGGGACAGGGAGCTCAGTAAATAACTAAACCTCTCTGCCAACAGTTTCCAATCTCTCTCTTTCTGTGGTGCAGGCTGGTTCCAGCAACGCGAGCGGGAACGTTCTGGCCGCCCTTGCTGGCATCTGGAGGACGCAAGGCCTGGCAGGGTAAGGACGTGCTACATCTCAGGTCTTGTATCCCTGTCTGTGTCGGGGGGTGGGAAGGGGATGAGATGGTCTGCTTAGGTTTAGACACTGCCGTACAGAAAAGACTTTCGATTGCTGTACACGTGGCCAGGGAGCGGCTGGCAGGTAGCGAAGAACAAGTCCCTCCAGGGAGGTCTAGTGTCCTCGCCTTAGCGCTGGCTGGGAGCAGTGGCCAGGGAAGAGCCCAGAAACGGGGCGTTATTGGGAGTCTGTCCGTGGTACCATCTCTAAGCTTAGCTCCAGGCTTCGGAGGCGAGGGTGGCTTCGTGCTTCATAACCCGGGATGGACTTTCCTCCACGAACGTGCACGTTTCGTGTTTTGTATCCCTTTAAACTTCAGGCACGCACGTCTTGTGGCAGTGACTACCACCGTTTCATCTTGAGGTGTGTGAAGCACCCCTCCTGAGATGTCAGGGAAGGCCAGCATAGGAACCTCGTGTCCCTCACGCACAGTCTTTTCCTCCTCCTGGCAATTTCCTACCGATCTGAAAACACCAGCAAGGTCTCCTCTGTTCCTTTAGATTTGCTGTTCTCACTGTGAAGCGTGACGGGAGCAGGCGATGCCGGGCTGGTGCCGGCAGCCGGGGCAAGCTGAAGCAGAAGGCAGGGAGCCCTGCGCTCCCTGACTTGTCCGTTGAGCCTCCCGTCAGGTCTGGGCTGGACCACGTGCCCGCTTGGATGTCTCTGGCGAGGCAGTTGTTGCACAAATGCAAGTTTTCTGAGACAGGCTTGAGCGCAAAGAATAAGTCTGAGCACTCGCAGAGCAGCTCTCTGTGGCTTTCCTGCTGTGGCTGGAGTGCAGAAATGTTCTGGGCTTTCTTCTGACCAGCCGTGGAAGGCTGGGGTGATGTTGGTCTCTTAACTGCCTCACTTTACCGAGCCCTGAGACGGGGAGTTGCTCTTCTGACCTTGGAGCAGTGCTGTGAACAAAAAACCCTCTGCTAGCGTTTGTAGAACATTGTGAGGTGTCATGAGCTTATAAATTATTACTGATTTTTACAGACATCTGCTTCATTTACACTACCTTGTCCTCTTTGAGTGCGTGACTCATGACACTCATTGGCCGCTCGTAGCGAATATGTCTTAAACACAACTCCTCCAGTCCAGGAGGTTCAGCCTGTGCTTCCTTTGGTAGGGATTGTGTCCCACCTGCCCTTGGCCTGGAAGAGAAGCGGGGGGTTTTTTTTTGAAGCTTTACTTGGGCCTTTTCACTGTGGTTTCTCACAGGTTTTTAATCCGCTTGCTGTGGCCAGTACTTTCAGGTGTAACATTCGTAAACTGCTGCTTGACGCAGCGTGCACCTCGCTGCTTTGCGGGAGACAGTTTTCTCTTAACATCTGATCTCTGCTTGCCCGACTAATAAAAGTTCAATCCTCTTTCTACACATGTGGGAAATAATTCAAAACAAATTGCAGGAAGTTCCCGAGCAGCGATTGCAGGAAGATGTCCAGCTGTGCCCCCCGGCGGCGCGCAGAGATGGGTTTGTCTCAGGTTTGCTCCTGGAGGTGACGAGGTGATGAGTCTTGGGTCCTAGATAGCTTGGTGGGCGCTCTAGGGCACGGTTGGAAAGGGACTGGGAGAAGTGAGGAGGCCACATCTGCTGCTGGTGGCCGTTGAGCTCTGAAGGGTGTGAGGAGGCACGGATCTAGCTGGGGAACAACCCCCCCCTTTCCTTAGCCAACAGCAGAAAATGAAAATGTATGTTTGTGTTCTTTTCAGGGCAGTGCCCTTTTCTAAACAACCCAAAATTAAACTCTGCCTAAAGATAGTACCCGTGGACTAGGACCAAAGGGAACACAATTCAATTGAAATCAAAACAATAAGCGATCTGGAGAAAAAGTAACGTGTGAGGGAGGCCAAGCTGCGTCAGCTGCAAGGAAAAGGAAGAAAGTCTTGGGAAAAATAAACGCAGAGGCTGCCATGCCTGCTGCCAATTATAAATCTATTAATCAAAAACAATAAAAATGTCGGGCTTTTTTGGCCAGTTGCAACATGAAATGATTTATGGCTCCTCTAATAAATCTCGTACTTGAAGAGGAGGAATTCTGAGGGCAGAAAGACGCATTGCTTATTGCCACCTTATTAAAACCAGAGCGCAGGGCTCAGCTTCCTGGTCTGCACCTAGTAAATCCCTCCGCTTCATGCCAAGAAATTTCACATCCCTTTCTGTCCGGGGAGAGCCAGGCCTGTGGCGGGAGGTAGGATAGAGATGGAGTGAGCGGACCCGTGCGCCTCTTGGCTCTTGACAGTGGGGTAGATGAGCCGTTCCCATGAAGGCCAGTGTACGTCTTGTCTGACGTGCGAGGAGGCGGTGGCGTTTGAAAGCCGTGGATGGAGCTTCACAACCGACTGGGGAGAAAGACGAGGGTTATTTGACCGATAAATCAGGTGAGATGGCTTGTCCCAGCTTGTCTGTAGCTGAGGACGGAGCCGGTGGTCTGCACCAGGCATCCCGTTCCTCGGATGAGCTTCCCAGTCGGGGTGGACGTGACACGGCAGGCACTAACCACGCCGCTCTCCGGAGCTGGACCTCGCCGATGGGTGGTGAAACACAAGCTGCCTGCAGGAGTTTGCTCAGAGCAAAGTGCAGTCAGAGAAAAGCGCTGTTCTTTCATCAGCGTGGCCACCCCTGTGGTCCAGAGCCTAACCCGGAGGTTTTGGGGCTGAGCACAGGTGCCCTTTGCAGCGCTGGCCCCAGTGCTGTGTCCAGGCCCTGCAGTGCCTTTTCCAAAGGGTAACTTCAGGGGTCCTGGTTAGTCTCTGTGGAGAACAGATTTGCTTTGGGTTGCTGAGTTGTCACCCAAAAAACATCCCCTTTGCCGCTGGGACCGTGGGACTGGGTGTATTGCTGGGCTGGGAACCCTGAAAGGAAGAGCTGCACCCTGGAGGGGATGCCCGCGGCTGGGGCGGGCACACGTTGTGGGTTTGACACCTGCAGCCCGGCCTCGCCCGGGGATTTAGATGTGATTCCCGGATTTGTGACTCCTGCCGAGCCGTTCCTCGCACGGCTGGGGAGAGCACGAGGTGTCCCTACCCGAAAGCCCCCTGGTCTTTGCCAGTCACCGGCACGCTGTGCGTTTATTGCAGCTTCGGGGATGAGAAGGTGGCATGGAGCCCTCCAGCCCTTGGTGCTGGATTCGACCAGTGACTGGGAGAGTTGCTTAAGCAAAAGGGAAAACCCAGGCGAGGAGAGAGGAGCGGCAGAGCGCCCGGTGAAGTGCGTGCGGACAGATAGCGAATACAAAGAGACGGCAGAGCTGTCCCCGCCAGAGCGGTTTCTGATGGGGCCAGCAGACAGAAAACCAGTTCAGCTCATCTGCTGGTGTGTGGCCTCGCAGGGACCGGTTTGGATCGGGCCTGCAACAGAGCTGAGCTCTCCGGATTCGAGGCAGCCCCGCAGCCGTTCAGCTCTGCCCTCCTGCGGAAGGGAGCCCCCGGGCGGAGCGGGGATCGGAGAGGCCACGGGCGGCAGGTGGGAAACTGCGGGGGGAGCAGGGCCAGGGTTCTTGGAAGTGATGGTCGGTGATGGGAGGTTGCCAGGGATGCAGCTTCTGAGTAACTGAGTTATCTGCCCCTGTTTGTGTAATAGCCGTGTCTCGAGCGGGCTGTTCTGTAAATGAATGCCTGCCACTGCTCCTGGAAGGGAGGAGGGCTGCCTAATTCGGCAGGAGAAGGATGGTGCTCCGTTCGGATTTACCCTATCAGCGCTCTGTTCGTACATGCCTTGTACAAATTACTCTGTTTTAAAGCTGTCATTATGGTAATGGGCCCAATTGCTGTCTAGTAAAGCCATAAAATGTTTCCATCTGCCTGCGTGCTCCAGGCTCCTCAGCAAAGCTCATTACGACAAAACCCAGAGTTGCTGCAGCCCGAGGTTTCCCCCGGCGCGGCGTGAGCCGCCCGCGAGGGGCAGCAC